ACCTACCTACCTACCTACCTACCTACCTACCTACCTTTATACAGCCACCCATCTCATTACAGCACATGGCTCTGGATGCTGGCGTTCGGGGTGTCATTGCACTTTATTTATTTATTTAACACATTTATATAGCTGCCCACCTCTGGGCAGCGTACAACCAATAGTTAAAACAATATCACCACTATCAAAACACTTTCAAAAATACAAAAACAAGATTGCAGGAGGACAAGGTAAAAAGACAATAAAAATGAGATTGGCTGAAAGAGGAGCAAAGATCGAGGATTGGTTTGGGGAAGGGAGGGCTGGTGCAGGAGGCAGAGCTTCCTGCAACTTGAAGCAGGAGCCCTAAAAGATGCCGCTTGGCCCCAGCCACACGCAGGCAGAAAGACCCTGATGGTCAACATCCGGCAATTACTTTTTTCCCCTTTTGTGGCTCGTTTTTCCACTGGATGTGCTCTCCCCCTGCCAATGACACATTGGGGTAGACTGCGCTGGAACCTAGAGGCTCCACAGAAGTCTTAACCCCACTGGAAAGAGCCTTAGGACAGAGGGACCCCTCCTACCCACAGATGGAGTGGCTGGACTGTCCTGAGGTTCTCCTGCTGAGTTGTAAACTTGGGTTTACAGACCACAATTGCTGGGTTGATATGAGCCAAGCCACCAGCAAACCAACCATGGTTTAGGGCAACGGGGGATTCCCAGCCCTTGAGTCAGAGGTACCCTAGTCTCTTTGGAAGGGGATGCCAGGGCTCTGGGGGGAGGGACCTACGGCTTCCAGATGTTGGTGGAGAATTATTCCCAGCATCCCTTCGCTGTGCTGGCCCAACATCTGGAGATCTGCCCCATCTCCTTTGACTTCCGGCTCCTGGCTGAGGACTAGAATGCTGGCCCCAGAGTTTTAAAACCTTCTGCCCTTTGCATGCCCGTCCTAGACCGTCCTCTAGCGCTGGCTGCTTTTTCGCAGGGCGGGAGCAGCAAAGAGCGGGCGCATTGTTCCACTCTCCAGAGGGTGTTAACGGAGGAAATCTGGGGGAAGCCCATTACCCAGATAAGCTTCATTTCTTGGCCAGTAACCCTGGTTCGTGACTGCAATTTCGCAGGCGGGGGAAACAGCAGCCCCCAAGGAACAGCAATGCTGTAAAGCACACCGAGGCAGAATTGGCCACCTCTATCTCAGCTGATCTCTTCCCAAAAGGGACCCGCCTCTTCCTGGCTGGTCTGTTTTGGCCAAGCGTCGGCAGCTTCGTGGTTCATACGCCGATCTCCCTGCTAATATCCTGTGAAGATCAAGTTGCAGAAACTTGTAAGAAGCCACTGCGGAGGCTGGACATGGATCCTGACTCACCGGCACCGTGATTTTGCCTCATTTATGCCATCAACCACAAGGAATCACATTCACACAACCCGCGAAGCTGAACCCATCACGGCTTAGTGGGTGAACCCATCCTCCGACTCCAAAATATTCCGGCTACCGACACCCACGCAATGTGGATGAACCGCAGTTGAAATAAATCGCCAGCAGCCGCATCCTTACGACACAGTTTATTGGATTTATGCTCTGCTTTTCTACTCAAGCAAGTACTCGTGATGTCTATAGCCCTAGGCTAAGCCATGATCTGGGGCTTAAAAACCATGAAGTTTTAGGTTGACACTCAAGACATTAAGGGACAATCCAACAGAAGACATGATAGTTCAGGGCACAAGGTAAACTCGGCCATTCTGGTTTTGTGAACGATGGGTTGGGGCTTAGCACGGGGCAGGACTCCAGTCAGTTGTGGCTTAGGTGATCGACCGCGGCAACGACACGATGCACAGAGAACTCAAGCGCAGATGGCAGCTCTTGCATCAATTAATTCAGCAATATGTGAACAAGGAATCTGGTTCCCGAAATATCAATCAACAGCGACTCTTTGCGTGGGGAAAATTTTGGGTGGAGGCTCAAGTGGCTTTGGAAGACACACCTCTTCTCTTAGCTCAGCTCTAAAGGATGCAAAAGCTGGGTGTGGCCACGTGATGAGTAAATGCCACATTACTTAAGAACATACCAGCACCAGGCTGATCATTCTGGCTTAACTGTTCTTGGCTCACCTCGTCTCCTGCGGTACCAATCAAGCTGGGGCAAATTTAGCCCCTCAAGTTGACTCTGGGCCCCCAGGTTAGATTGTCATCCCCACGTGAAGCGTCCGAGTGGACAAGACTCACAGTCGCTTGGTCATTCCAGGCGCATCCGAGAAATAAAACTGGTTCCGATGCGGCAAAGATTTTGGCCTGCCAGGTTTTACGGGGTGGGCAATTCCAGGAAGATCTTTGCAATCTAGTGGCAAGGGAGATGTTCACCTCCCCAGCGCAAACGCGAGGGAAAGAAACACAACCAGGATGGTGAAAACAGCATAATTTCCCCCAAATGCAGGGGAAAAGTCCAGGAGGCGCAATATTAGCCAAGGTTTCCCACTTCGTGCTAAACCCTGGTTTGCTCAACCACCATCTTATGTCGAAGCCACAGCTGGTTTAAGTTCACCTATCCCAATGCCCCAAACCCAATAACCCATAATACACTATAAAGAAAGCCTGGCCAGACTTTGAAATGGGGGGACTGCGGGCCTGGTCCACTGCCGCTCGGAAGGAGCGGAGACCCGAGGATGGTTAGTTGGCTGATCTGGATTTATTAGAGCAGACCTACGTTCAGAGAGTCTTTGGGGGAAGGTGTGAGAGTTGACACGTTGAAAGGTTCACACGCATATTATTGGAGCAGCCTTGAGGACACGTGGACGATACTAAGACACACACAACTAGCAGAGACAGGGACCAGCCTCTCCCCGGGACTGGGGCCTCTATCTTCCCCCAGTCCATATTTATTTGAACACTTGATTGTAGAAGACTTCTTCCTGGTGACTTGTAAGGCATCTCACCCCCCACCCACCCCCCAGCACACACAGAGAGTTGGGCAAGGACAGGACTCTGCCTTCATAAATTAAAAAAGTGCATTCACTCTACCGAGGGTTCAAAACAATCCTGTGTCTGTGACTATTCCAGCTGGGTTGGGCTCTCTGGCCCCGCAGAGACGCCCCCCGTTGTGGTACCTGGACGGGAGCCGCTCTCACACCTCGATGCTGCGATCGGAGCCGAGGCCCTGCTTCTGCAGAAGCTCCTCTTGTTTCATCTTGGGCTTCTCCGTCCGGGTGTGCCAGACCAGCACCTGAAACGGAGGCAGAGATGGGGTTCGATCATGTCTTCCCCCCTGCCCACCGGCCTGCTGTCACTGATCAATCCATTTACTGATTTGAGAACCTCTTCCAAAGAGCCAAGCTTTGGGGCTCGTTGTGAAGTGAAAAAACACATCGCCAGTAGGTTGGGATCGGGAGAAAGCAATCAAAGCAGCTTTTTTGGTCAGATCCCGATTCCAGTGGCTAGCTTCACTCCAACGAACGGTGGTTGCTGAGAGAGAAAGCAGGAAATCCAGCTTATGGCTTAGATCCAGTTGCACAACTGGTTGGGCTTCCTTTATTCCTCCTCCATCCCCACTCCCTTTCCTTCTGTGATGCACAAAGTATTCCCAAATACTATCAGCTCTCCGTGGACCCTTTTTCAGCTGCGGTTAAAAAGTGTTCCAAAATAAAAACAGATCCTATTAAAAGTCATGCACAAATGCACCATCCATCCATACCAGTGTTTTTCAACCTTAGCAACTTTAAGATGGGTGGACTTCAACTCCCAGAATTCCCCAG